CATCGCGCACGCCAAGGCGAGCCGCATCTGCCAGCCGCCGCTCATGGAGCCAACGGCTTTGCTCAGCATCTCCTCGTTGTTGAAGCCGACGTCCTTGAGGGTCCGCGCCACCTCCCGCGGGGCGCGGGAGGGCGGGCGCGCCCCCCCGGGTGACTGCCCCTGGAGGGCGACGAGGGGATCGCGTGGACGGGCGGGGCCGAGAGAGAGGAGACGTGTGCTGGTGGGGGGGGGGGAGGAGGAGTGGAGGAGAGGAGGAGGAGGAGGAGAGGAGTGGGAGGTGGAGCAGGAGGAGGAGGAGGGAGGAGGAGGAGGAGGAGGAGGAGAGGAGGACTAGGTGGAGGAGGAGGAGGAGGGGGAGGAGGAGGAGGAGGAGGAGGAGGAGAGAGGAGGAGGAGGAGAGGGGATGCGGGGTGAATGGGGGGGGGGAGAGGAAGACGGGGCGAGGGGGGAGCCAGGGCGGGAGCGAGGCACGGGGTGGGGCGGTCTGGGGGCCCCCTCGGGCTCGGCAATGAGAAGGAGAAGGGAGAGGGGGAGGAGGGAGGGGAGATGGGGAGGGGGAAGAGGAAAGAGAGAGGATGGCATGCCAGGATGGGAAGGTTCTCCTCCTCCTCTTCCTCCTCCTCCTCCTCTTCCTCCTCCTCTTCCTCTTCCTCCTCCTCGGATGGGGTGGATGGGGACTGGGAGAGGAGGGAAGGGTGGATGGGGAGAACGCAGAGGGAGAGGGGCAAACCAAGTGCGTTCGCGTCTCATCTGACATCCTATCCCTTCCACCTCTCCCTCCCCGCTGGCGCTCAACAATGTTACGTTGACCGAACTGGGTGTCGCATCGAACTGTGAATCCTTCACTGCATGTGCGATTGAGGGCGTTTCGTTGAAAACTGTGCGCGCACACATCAAAAAGGATGCAAAGGCATCTGGCGTGGGAAAACGCATTCCGCGGAAATTTGGCGGCGAGGTGAAGTCAATATGCGGATCCAGAACTGTGGCCGCCGCTGAAACAAAACCGCCATTCCTAGCGACGAACACAATATGCCGATCAAGGAACCCAAGCACATACAATATCTCGGAACACACGTGTCGGCGAATGCGAAAATGCATCACACATCGGGGAGGAGGATCGGCAACACGCGGTACTCTTTCATGACTTTGCGCAGACTGTGGTCACACTCGTCATTACCGTGGCCATGTAAGCTCTGCGTGTATTCACCTATCGTTAAACCTAATTTGTTGAAGAGGCTCAGCGGCTTTTGGATGCGTGCGCCAGATCGCGTGAGGACGGCATACCTGTCACGCATCTCGAAGAAAACGGTGTTCAAGGAGGCAGAACATGAACAGGCAAACCAACTGTTATTGTTGTTTCGACAACTCAAACTATTTGAACACGTTCTTCGTGCCCTCACAACCACCCACCGAAGATCTGCTCAATTAGCATTGGCATTTCAAGCCCTCTCACAGACAAATACGTCAGGCGTAATTATCGGCCGCCCGTGCAACAAATTCGTTCTAGACATGCTCGCGCATGCGTGTCGTGTCTTTGGGAGCCTCGCCGCAACTGTCGCGGCAACCACGCTGGCAACCCTGGCACCGCTCTCATATCGAAAACGTCTTGAAAGACTCCAATCGGCAAGCTCTCGTGTCGAAACAGGCGCCCAGACTCACGAGCTGCATGAGCTGTCCAAAGCCCGGCAAACGGGCGATGGTGTCATCGATAAGCTTCGTTCGGACGGCCGTCCATGTTTTGTGGAATTCAGGCCATCAATCGGAATTGACACCGCCAACGTAGGTCTCAAATGTCTCGGACAGCTTCTCGCCCATGTCTCCGGCAAGAGTGCGAACCAAGGGGTTTTGGAATAAAGCGTCTTCACGGCTCGTTTCCAAAAACCGTTCATAAGCGATCGTTATGGCGAAGTCATTGACGAAACGACCGGTCAGCTCTGTTTGGCTCAACTCCTCCTCTGCTGAGTTCACCATGGCGCCCAACTGATCCAAGTCAGGTCTGGGAAGCTTGATCACACTTGGCCTTGGAAAGAGCTGTCAATTTGTCAACGACAAGTAATGTGTGGTGTGACACGAGAGCGGGTCATACGTGTATGCATTGGAACTCTTCGAGATGCCAGCACATCGTCAGTACCTTGTCATGCCAATATACCCACACTCCAAAGTAACTCATGCAAATGTGATAACCACGCTGGATGCTGCACGTGTCCACATTACGACCTCGCATGGGTGCAAGCATGGATGAACACAAAACTCGCTAAAGGCGGCACAACCGTATTCCGATCGATTGACACGTTGCCGATCATTTACTGTTTGCATGAGGTTCCGCTGATTGCGTCCCTTCCTCCCGTCCTAGTCATCCCCCTACTCCCTCTCGTACTTCTGTTGTTCCTCATCCCCCTGTCCCCTCTCCCTCGTCGTCCTCCTCCCCCTCCTCGTCCTCCGCCCCTCATTCTCACCCCCCCTCTCGGCATGAAGAAAGCGGGTCCTGTGGGAAACGGGTCCTGGACCGTGCGGGCTTCCCCTAAACCAACTCTTCACCCCGAGCCGTTTTCTGACGGCCCTGTGGATCCGCGGAGGGCCCGAACTCGTGGAAAAACGTGTACATAACCCGTTTCCTCGGGACCCGCCTGCTTCATGGCGACTCGTCCCCACCCACCCTCGTCGTAGTCGGTCGTCGTCATCGCCCCAAAGACCTCAGCGTCCGATGCCGACGAGTCGCCCGCGTTCTTCAGCCTCGCGTACTCCCTCGCGCTGGTCGAGGGCGCGACGCCTCGTATCGGGTGCTTGTCGAGGGGTGGGGGATGTGGGGGAGGAGGGCGAGGAGGAGGAGGGGGAGGAGGAGGAGGAGCAGGAGCAGGAGGAGGAGGAGGAGGAGGAGGAGGAGGAGGAGGAGGAGGAGGAGGAGGAGGAGGGAGGAGGAGGAGGAGGAGGAGGAGGAGGAGGAGGAGGAGGAGGAGGAGGAGGAGGAGGAGGAGGAGGGTGAGGAGGGGCAGCAGCAGCAGCAGCAGCAGCAGCAGCAGCAGCAGCAGCAGCAGCAGCAGCAGCAGAAGTGAGGCTGAGGGGGAGGAGGAGGGGAGGAGGGATGAGGATGGGGAGAAGGGTGGGAGGTGGGGGGGAGGTGGAGGACGAAGACGGCGAGGCGCCGACATGGGTCTGAAGGGATTGTCTTATAAAGAAAATGGGAGGAAGTAGGCCCCACCCTCCTCCTACTCCTCCTGCTCCTCCTGCTGCTCCTCCTGCTGCTGCTGCTGCTCCTCCTCCTCCTCCTCCATCTCCCTCCCCTCCTCGCCTCCTCCCTCCCTCCCTCGCTCCCTCCCTCGCCTCCCTCGTCTCCTCCTCCTGCTCCTGCTCCTGCTCCTGCTCCTGCTCCTCCTCCTCCTCCTCGTCCTCCTCCTCGTCCTCCTCCTCGTCCTCCTCCTCCTCCTCTCCTCCTCTTCCTCCTCCACCCCTCTCTTCCTGTTAGGGTCCAGTCGAGATCGGGAGGGCCTCGCAGGAAGGTTTCGGCGCGCAAGTGCACGACTCTCAGCTCCTGCGGAAACCCGACGATATCCTTGCTCGCTATCCTCGGCGGGGCCAGAGGGGAGCATCAGTAGGAGCCTCCCCCCTCTGTTTTTCGCAAGAGGGCAGGCTCAGCAGCAGGAGGGATGGAGGAGGAAGAGGAGGAGCCGCAGCAAAAGAAGGGAGGAGGAGGAGGAGGAGGAGGAGGAGGAGGAGGAGGAGGAGGAGGAGGAGGAGGAGGAGGAGGAGGAGGAGGAGCAGGAGGAGGAGGAGGAGGAGGAGGGAGGAGGAGGAGGAGGAGGAGGAGGAGGAGGAGGGGAGGAGGTGGAGGTGGAGGTGGAGGTGGAGGTGGAGGTGGAGGTGGAGGTGGAGGAGGAGGAGGAGGAGGAGGAGGAGGAGGAGGAGGAGGAGGAGGGCATCAGCAGGAGGAGCAGCAGTGGGAGGAAACACGGCGGGTTCTTGTCGCTACGACGTCGCCGTTGGCTTCTGGCACTGCGTGGGTCCTGCAGCCTTGGGAGATCGCGGCTTTCCGATCGCGCAGATCTTCGATATGGGCCCACTCTGGGCCACTGGCGGTGTTTGACCTCGAACGCTCGAGCCTGAGGCGCCACCGTGTCGACGCTGTGCGCACCTGTCGTACGGGGAGCAGCAAAGAGAACCTCTTCCCTCTCTCCTCCCCGGACCTCCGGACGAGGAGCGATTTCTCCTCTGACGTTCTCGATTTTTTGGGGGGGCGCCCTCGTGGTCCCGGCTGGAACCGCTTCGGAAGTCTGGCCAGAATGCGCCCCAAGGCAGATTTTTGAGGAACGTGGCCCAGACCACTTCGCGGCCCGAGCGAACCGCGCCAATTCTTTTCGACGGTTTCGACCGTCGGGGCCGCTTCTGGCCCCCTGGCTGCCAGAAAACGGCCCCGGCATGAAAAAAACATTGCTTGGGGGGGGGGGGCGACAGATCTTGGGCGAACGACGCGAACAAAATCGAACCGATGGTTGAGAACAATGGGACGAGGGTGGAGGCGAGGAGAAGAGGGACGAGGGGCTTCGACGTCCTTGGCGCTTTTTCGGGCCAACTTTCCTGCAAGGCCTGTTGTTACCTTCGTCACGCTGGCTTGATCCGCCTCGCAACTCTAATCGGAAAGCCTTTCAAGACAAACCCGCGGATGGACTCTGAAGGAAAGAACTGAGGGAGGAGGAGTGAGGAGGAGGAGGAGGAGGAAAAGGAGACGGCAGAGGAGGGGATAGTTGCGAATTGCGACGTGCTTGGGACGCCGCGGGGGCGCTGCAGGGTGGGGCCGAAGCGCCAAGAAAACGACTATACAGCACTACCGGAACGCGTCAGGGAAATAGCGAAATCTGCAAAATCGTCCTCTAGATCGGCCCACGTGCTGGTGCACGCGAGTTTCACAAGATAAGGAGCGGCGTCTTGAACGCAGCTGGCCTCAGTCAATCCTGTCTTTGCTTCGTGTTGGAACCGATCAGAAAAACGTAGAGTGAAACTCGAGATGTAATCCAGCCATCTTCGCTTGGTCTGCTTTGGCGCCTCTGGGAAACCAACTTTGGATGTTCTGACGGGCTCCACATCAGAACCTTGTGTATCCATTCGCAAGCATACGATCGTGCCACATGCTGCAACCATTTCCATTTCTGGCGCCGTTGTTGTTGGATCCGATCGTCTATCCCAAGACTGCCCATATGTTTTTCTGCTTCGCGCGTGCTCCTTTTTACCCACTCCACCCAAGATTCCACATTTGTTGTGTCATCCACGGCTTCAGCCTCATGTCGTTGATGTCGCGCGTCTTCTTCTGCAAATGCACTGGCCACGTCCGACCCGCTGTCTGTACTGCGCACGCTGTCCGCGCGATCTTGCGGCCCAGAAGGTTTTTCCCGCCGTTCCGAAACGCGTATGGGTAAATTGATAATCGTTCGTAACATCTGACGTTGTGTTCGTTTCACTCGGTTCTGCGATTCCTGTGTGAATGTCCATGCTTCACATCCATGCAACATTGTGGGCGTTACAACTCCATTAAATGAGCGAAGTCGGTCATGTAAAGAATAGCGCTTTCCAATTAATTCTTGCCTCAAAGCATGCAATTTGCGCCGCGCACAGGCCATCCGGTGTTCAATATCGACCTTGTTCGGCTCGTGGAACGACAACTTGCGACCCAAATATTCGCTATTCTATTGATGGTAACTGTTTTTGGTAAAGGTGTCCTCTGGTAGCTCCTCAAAGAATTGTGTAGGGTCTTCGTCTTGTCGGGGTGTAAGTGGAGTCCCGCGGCAGCGGCCTCGGCGCTGAGATTTGCAATCGTCCTTGACACCTGGTGTAATGAAGAGGCGACAAATAGTATATCATCAACGCAACGTAAACTCGACAACGAAACTTTGTCCGCCACTTGCATCCCAATTCCAATCTTCGCCTTCCCCCACTTTGCTCGCATAATGCTGATCACGTACTCTGACGCGCTGTTGAAAAGTAGGGAGCTGAACGCATCTCCTTGCTTTGTACCGCGTTGCATAGAGAAAAACTCACCCAATTTGTCGGTGCGAACAGTCGCCGTTTGGTCCCGGTACATGTCCTTCAGAAGATTGATGTCGCATCGGTCGACACCTTGGCTGGCGCGTGCATCCCATATTCCCCTATGTGTTACGCTGTCAAACGCTTTTTTGAAACCGATCGCGGCTATCCACAAAGGGGCCTGCCACTCCTCCGCCGTCTCCTGCAATATACCGATGGTGAACGAGTGGTCGGTCGTAGATTTGCCCTGTCAGAAGCCAGCTTGGTCTGGGCTCTGTTCGCTGTCGAGAGCTGGGGGCAGCCGACTGTAAAGTAACCTGGCAAATAATTTGTAAAGCAGCGGGATGATGGATATAGGCCGGTAGTTCTGCGGCAACCTCATATCCCCACTTTTGCGTAATACCTTTTACCGCAGTCTTTTTCCAAGCGGCCGGGATTGGTGCATTCCCATTGGTGATGTCGTTGTACAGCATCAGCAAAATATCATGTAAGAAGGTTCACCGCCGCGTTTGAGCATCTCCGCTGCGATCCCACATGTATCTGTAGACCTCCCCGCTTTTAGCTGCTGGAGCGCCGTTCGCAGTTCTTCCATCGAAAATTCTGGTATGCATTTCCTGGGCGCGTCTGCTCGTGTGCTTTGCTGGTTGCTGCCTATCATGTTGAGGATCGCGATGAAGCTGGCCGTAAACATCTGCGAATGTATCTGTTTGTTTGCCTATCGTGCTCTGCGTCCAGCATGTATGGGATGAGTTCGTTCTTCCGCTGCGAATCTGTGCCAACTATTTTTCGTAAGTCCCGGTATTGCGATAAAATGCGGCGGACTTCAAATCTCCTGTTGCGTCGTTTCTCTGTTCGGACTGCAAGCCTGGTCCACTTGCTGAGTAACCGTCTCGTTGCTGTATCCTCAGATGGCGTATTCCGTCTCTGCTCCAATATGGTTGACACAGTCGATCTCAGAGTCGTCTGGCGCTGCTGTTCTGGCATCGTACTTGCAACCGTTGATTAGCACATTGGTTTCTCAATCTTCTCGTAATCTGGACGCCCACCATCCGTGCTGCACGAGACCATATGCTGTGCAACTTGTTTTTCATAAGTACATGTGTCCTCAGGCGGTCATTTCTGTGGTCGCGCTTGCGAGTTCCTGCTCTGCTTTTTTGGCCGTCCCCCAGGCCTTCGGAAAATCGAACTTCGCATTGGTAGTGCGCGGTGGTCGGAACCGAGATCAAGCGTCGCCGTCGCGCCGCAATCTTTGATTGTTTCCCCGAGCCGGTTGTTTGTCAAAAAGTAGTCAAGCTGCACGTGCGATTTGTCGGGCCTCGTATGTGTCCAGCGGATCTTCGGCTGCTTCTTGAAGAACGTGTTTGCGATCCGGAGTCGCCGTTCCTCTGCCCAGTTCTTCAGCCGCTGTCCCCGCGCATTTTCGGTTCCATAACCATATTGGCCACAGCTATATGTTGCAGACTGGACCCTCCCCGACTTTTGCGTTCATGTCAGCACCAATAACAAAATACCATTTGAAAGCATCAGTTTCTGAGAGTAACTTGGCAAGGATGTCGTATTCAAATTGGACGTGCTTGTCGGCGTACCCGCCGTGCAGAAAGTAGGCACTGACCACTCGCATGGGCTCTCTGTTGAGAATAGAGACGTCAACAAAAGCAATTCTTTCACTAATGGGTTAGAGCTGCCGAAGATGATTCTTCCATCGCTTGTGCATCAAAATTTCAACTCCACGTGTTGGTTTCGTATTTCCAGATGCTAAGAACAAGTGCCTTCCCGACGTTTCCCAAGACTCCGTCGCTGTCGTGCGCAGTGTTTCACAAATTGTAATGATATCCCATCTTGCATCGCCAATTTCGGAGAGCAGCTCTGTGATTCTGTCGTCGTCGGTCATGCCATCGGGCGTTCTGGTGAAGTATGATAAAATCCTGGTATTTGGTAAGGCTCTGCATTTCAATGGGAGGCCGGCTCGAAAAGGCATGCGCCGGGAAATCGCCATCGATGTTAGCATTTATCCCTCTCCCCCCTATTCCTCCAAGCGTTGACGTTGTAGTGGTCATACTCGTACTGGTACTCTGCGGTCCATGCCGCCCCTCTGGGTGAGCACTGGGGTGTCACAGCCCACGTTTGGACCGCCATTTGGTAATGTCGTTCTCTACGTGCTGCTTGACCTGCATAACCGATGCATCATAATCCCACCCTCCCCCATCCGTCCTCCGTATGAATTTCTCGCCCTTATACTTCACGACTTTTTTGTCCCAGACTATTCGAATATCTTTGAGACTGTAGCCCATAATCTCGTGGAGCTGGTGTTTGGCACGCCCCAATATTTTGTCAAACTCACGTTTCCCCAACAGTTTTATTTGCATGGAATCGTGTGTCGTCATCGTTCGCCATTTGTAGGATTTCTATTCTATTTGTCGTAGGAATCCGTTCTTGGCGCCGACAATTTTGAACTGCAGTACCCCGATCTTCGCTGATTCCGAAAAACAGAAAATATCGTTGCACTTGGCGGTGTACTCGACCTCCTCTACAATCTCCTTAAGGCGCTTCGTGATGGCATCCTCGTCCGCATCCTCCTTCAAACCCTCCGCAATGACCTGGAGGATCCTTGTCTCGTCGTCGTCATCGTCCATGTGTGCTGTCTTGCGCATCGTGCCACTGTTGATCATGTTCTTCATGTCCGCGATCTCGGCCTGGATCGTCGCGTTGGTGTTCTGGATGTCCTGGACCTTAGTTTCGAAACCTTTTACCGTTTCCATTGCTTGCTCCGCAGTGGCCTGAGCGAAGTTTGCAATGGTCTTGGTGTTCACCATGTCATCGGTGAACTTCGTAAGCATGTCATACATCTTATCGATCTTCTGGTCCCGGTTCATATCTCCTTCAGTCCCTCGTGATTTGCCATCGCATTTGTTTTTTTCTCCCCTGGGGAGCGGCCAGTAGAGCCCTCGGCCTTACGCACTCCAATTCCTCCAAGATGCATGGTGCGTGACAATCCGGCGTAATGAGAAGAGAGAACATATCTGCAGGGAAATAATATAAGGTTGGGGATGTAGCGGTATTGGGATGTGAGGAGGAGAGGGGGGATAGGGGGGTAAAGGGGATAGGAGAGGAGGGACTAGCAGCAGCTCCTGGGACATGTGCCAAGCCAATGGCTTCTGCACTGTGAGCTGGCTCTCGAAAGTGGCGACGCGCTTGACCTTGGTGGTGCCGCAGCGCTTGCAGAACATGTGCCGAGGGGGGGGTGCGGCGGCAGCCGCACGAAGAGCAGGTCCATTTCCTGCCTGACAGAGGGGCGCCATCTGGACAAGGACGTTGAAGACCAAGTACCAATGATGGCCACGACTCACGCCAAGGGGCCACCGTCGATGAGTTTCCTGGGGGCTGACTCCATGCGGCATGCCACGGCCGCCATAACATCTTGCCTCCCTTGCCTCCGAAGCCGCCGCCTCCAGCCATGGGCCCCGCTGCGAGGGCGTGATGGTGGCAGCTGCTCCCAAAGAGGTGAAAAAGGATGTAGGGTAAAGATCCCGCAAGCTGCAGCCAGAAAAGGGCCCGAAGCAGCAGTGCGCCGTTCTGAAGATGTGCTGTTGCAAGCGCAGGCAGATAGCCTGAGCCAGAACGGCTTGAGCCAAACTGGGTACGGAGGAGAGGATCGGAGGAGCAGGAGGATAATGAGGAGGGCCCCCCCTGGTCGCAGGAGGTCGGAGAGGGTCCGATACGCAGCAAAGCAGGACGTGCTCGTCAGAGAAGGCATTTTTTCACGCCACCATTTTGCACGCCTCGAAACTGCCAACACCTGAGGAGGAAGAGGACGAGGATGATATTCCTCCTCCCTCCCTTCTCCTCCCCCAGGCCTGGCCTTCCTCGCGCCTGGCCCGTCTCGTCTGCTGCGGCTGTGGCCGCCGCTGCGTCGTGGCACCTCGTTCGGTTGCGCGGCAGACGCCGCTCTATGGGCAGTTAAAGTGGGAATGGGAGGAGAGACTGTGTTAGGAAGTCCGAGGAGTTGCAGGAGTGCAGGGGGTTCTACGTTGGGGGTTCCTGGAGATTCTAGCAGGCCCTGGGCTGCTAGGCGGGAGGGAGTAGGCTTCGGAGGAACAGGAAGTCGAGCGCGCGCATCCGCCGCGTCGATCTGAAGCCAGGGAGTCCACCTGCCCCACCTCAACCCCCTAAGATCTTGATTTCTGGGTTCGGAGTTAGATTCATACATTTACCTGCCACACCCCTGTGTAAGACAGGGCTAACACCGAGCCTGATTTTGGCCCACCTCGGGCCGTCGGTGATGGAGAACTGAGTGGCCTGCAAATTATGGCCGGGTGCAATCTCAGACTTCTGGCCAGACAGCCGTGGCCTCCATGACGCGCTGCCGGCTTGGAAGCCACAGCGCAAGTCTCCTCCTCCGCCTCCTCCGCCTCCTGCTCCTCCTCATCCTCCTCCTGCTCCTCCTCCTCCTCCTGCTCCTCCTCCTCCTCCTGCTCCTCCTCCTCATCATCCTGCTAGCGTGGGCACTTGGCTTCTGCGGCGACGTCCATGCCGCACCGCTGGCCTCGCCCCCCGGACCTCCGCCCAGCATACCCTTCCTCGCCGTGGGCCGCCCCGGGACCTCTCGACCCCCCCACGGGGACGGGCCGGCCACTCCGATGCTGCTCCTGCTCCTGCCCCTTCGGCGGCTGCTCCCGCCGCCGCTGCTTCTTGTTGCTGCTCTCCAGGCTCCTCTCTGTTACTCATCGTGCTCCTCCCACCCTGCAGCATTTTCACCCGCCTCTTCCTCATCCCATGACCGTCTGTGCGTATGATCGGTCTTCAAACTCATTGTTCTTGGGTCTTCCTCCTCCTCCTCCTCCTCCTCGGCTCTTCTGGGGCTCCTGGACATCATCGTAGTCTTGCCAGTGCCGTTCGACCCGATGACGCCGTACCTGTGGCCGCGGAGCAGCTCCAGCGTCGCGTTCCTGAGCAGCGGCGTCGGGCTGCCCCCGTACCTCGGCAGCCGAGGCGCGCCGGCAGGGAGGAGCGAAGCGAAGCGAAGCGCACGCCGGGGTCGCGCGCGCTCCTCGGGGGAGCCCGCCCGCCACCCATTCGGGCACGGCGTGGAGGCCGTGGCCTCAAGCACGTTTTACGGCGGCGGGCTCACGGGGTGTGCACCATGCAGTGCTCCTGGCGGCTGGCAGCCATCGCAGGCCGTTAGCGTTGCTGCGCTCGCGCGGTCTCCGTTCGGCCACGGGGGGCGGAGGCGGAGGAGGCCAGAGACGAGGCCGATGCTGATGATGAGGAGCGGGGTGAGGAGGCGAAGGAGGAGGAGGAGCGAAACAGGAAGAAGGGGGGGGGAGGACGGGGAGGAGGACGAGGCAGAGGAGCACGTGGAGGGGGTGGGCGGATGCGGGCGGGGACCCGCCCAGACCTCCAGGGTGAGGGAGGGAGCGGAGAATGGATGTCCACCCTGCCGTCCAAGGAGGCAGTGAGGGAGGGGCAGGACGTGGGTCTTGCCGTCGCTCCGACGTCCATTTCCCGTGCATTTTTCGGTTTTGTGCGTGTTTTTTTTTTCGCTCGATGATCCAGGATGTTCCTCAAGGGTCCTCGCCGAGAAAAAGCGTTCCACGTCCGAGCGATGCCAAGTGGATGGGACGCGATGGGACGGGACAAGAAGATGAGAGGAGGTGTTCTTACATGGGACAACATGATCAAGTAATGGAGGACATGCCATGCAGCGAGGCTGGTGCATCCTGGGGCCATTCGAATGAGCGATCGGCAGAACGGTCGACCTCACCCCTTGGTTGTGGAGCCTGCTGCTTCAACTGGGAAGCCAAACAAATGTTGCCGCAAGCAGCAGCCATACGGAACCTGCTTCTGCAACCTAGAGGTCTCACGCGATTTAGCGCTCTGGCCATCGGGCCCAAGGTGGCCCAGCGATGGTCCTGCGGTATCCGAAGGAAAGCCCACGGTGGCTCAAAGATGCCTCAGGATTTCTCCAGGGAGCCCCAGGAAAACCCTAAGGCTGGCGCAGCTTAGGGGGCGGGGGGGGGGTGCGGAAGCGGAGGCAATCCTCCCAGAAGGAAGACATGCGGCACACATATATATATATATATATATATAACTTCCGAATGTCCGAACGGATCTCCAGGATCGCGCTGGACCCCCTCCCTGCTGCGCGGAGGGCGCCAGGGGCGGCGCCTGATGCGCCGCCAAAGAGGGGCTCAACGCAGATCCAAGAAAACCGCACGGATCTCCGGAAGTGTATGTTTTTGCCGTCATTCTTCTTCGAGCCTCAGACTGGCCATCGCTCGGACGTCCATTCCCTGTGTTTTTTCAGTTTCGTGCGTGGTTTTTCGCCAAATGATCAAGGATGCTTCTCGATGGCCCTCGCCGAAAGAAAAATGCACACGTCCGAGCGATGCCAAAAGAAAACCGCACGGATCTCCGGAAATGTATGTTTTTGCCGTCATTCTTCTTCGAGCCTCAGAACAGCGGCGGCCGGCGAGATCCCGCCGCCGCTGCCGCACGGACCTCACATATGAAGATGGCGCCCCGCCGCGGGACGGGCGGTAAGGATGGCGCGGCGGCGCCCCTGCAGCGCCGCAGGCCTTGCAGCTCGCAGCGGCGGGCCCGAGCTGAATGGGGACCTGAAGGGGCCCCAGGACTCCTGGACACACAAATAAGTACACACAAATAACAATATTCCCCATATTTCCCCCTATTTTCTGGGTTTCTGTCTTCCCCCCCGCCGCCCATATCTTCCCATCTTTTCTGGGGACTCGACGATTCATTGTGTCTGTGTGTTTCTTCCCCTCCTGAGTGATTCTGCCGCTTGGCCAGCGGCGGCCACCCAACTTCGCGCAGTCGCGCACCGCGATCGCGCCACGCGCGGCTCCCTCCGCTCTCCCGCGCCGCCCCCGGAGAGAAGGACAGCTGCCCTGGCCCAGGCCGCGGCGCGCGACACGCGACTATGTTCGCACCCCCGCGGGTGACCCAGAAGACCTCCTCCTCCTCCTCCTCCTCCTCCTCCTCTCCTCCCTCCTCCTTATTCTCCTCCTCCTCCTCCTCCTTCTCGTGGCCCTCCTGCTGCTCCTCCTGGCCAGGAAGCCTGCGGCGAGCTTCGGAATGCTCCCTTCCACTCACGGCGCGCAGGTCTGGTGCTGCCTCCCACGATCTCCTGCGGGTGACCCAGAAGAAGGAAGCCTGCGACGAGCTTCGGCCTGTTCCCTTCCACTCACGGCGCGCAGGTCTGGTGCGAGCTTCGGAATGCTCCCTTCCACTTACGGCGCGCAGGTCTGGTGCTGCCTCCCACGATCTCGCGCCGGCGCCAGCCTGGACTCGCCACGGGGTGAGCTGCAGTCCCCCCGACCATGGCCACGAGTCCCTTGCCCTCCCGCAGGAGAACACGAGCGCAATCGCCCGCCCTTGCCCTCGCCCTGCACTTCCGCACGAAGTTTTGCAGCGCCTTCGCTGCTCTGACGGTCTCCTGCTCGCTGCGACACAAATCTCCACAGCCATCTGACTTCGACGTGCCATGCTGCGTCGCTGTTCCATAAGTTTGGGAAACTCATGCCGTCCCATTCGGACTCCTGCCGATGCCTTCGCTACCTGCGCACCCAGCGGAGCAACACTTCAGCGTCGTCCTGCCGTTCGCCCTCGAACTGCTCCGGGGCCGTTCGCTGAAAATGTCCCGCCGTCTCGTCCGCGCGATTCTGAAGGGGCCCCAGGACACACAAATAAATACACACAAATGAAACTATTCCCGATATTTTCCTATATTTTTGGGTTTTTTGTCTTCCCCCCCACTTCGCATATTTTTGCATATTTTCTGGGGAATCGACGATTAATTGTGTCTGTGTGTTTTTTCCCCTCCTGAAATTCGGATTCTCTGACACATTCTCTGCGTGCCGTAGAAGGTACTGCGCCAGCGGTTGAGTCAGGGCGCTGGAGGCGCTGCTGGGCAAGCCCCGCCGCCCTGGCTCTCTGCCCGCGAGATCCGCGGCGTGCCTCGGGAGGCACCCGCGCGGGCACGCCGAGAGCTGCCTCGGCTCCGCCTGCTCCCCGCCCTTGCCGCCAGCTCTCCTACACGTCGTTCACTTCTAGTCGTGCTTATTTCTCATTGTGCTCGTCTCTAGTTGTTCCTGGCCCTCAGTGGCCAGGAAGAGGCCCAGGATAGAACAAGTAGAAATGAGAGGATCTTGACCCCCCCAAAGAACTTTCGAATACTTGGAAATGAACAATGTGTACGCCTCCTCGACGTCGACGGCACCTCATGTGCCCGCGCAGTTCCATTCGACCAGCTCCGCCGGTGGACATCCAATTGAGGCTCTGCCCTATGGATGTCGCCGCCGCCCTCATCAGACAAGGGACCCGCCAGGGTCTGAAGCCTCCTGAACACATTCCTTGACCGATGCCCCCACCGTATGTCCTACAAAGAAGAGCCCCGCCGAACAAGACTCACCTACCCACCACATGGCAGGAGCCGTCCCAGGGCAGGCCAGGCACCCTGCGAGCCGCAGCCCGCCTCCCGGCAGCCGCGCGGCGCCTCGTGCGGCCACAACGCCAGGCTGATCTCCATCACTCGAGTTCAGCCGTATGGAGGCCTGGAGGAACCGCTCGGGCCCGACACCCACATCCAGGGGAGGCGCCTGCGGCCCCTCTGCTGTGATGTCACGTCGGGAGGCGCAGCTGACGATGATGGGCCAGCAGTGCGAGGCTCCGTCCTCTGGCAAACGGGTGCGTCCTAGAGGGTGAATCACCTACCCCGCTGTCGCTTCCATGCAGCACCACATCATGACCACGCGCCTCATCGTCAAACGGTCTGAACGTTGCGGGCTACCCCAAGGGCAGCCTGGTACCGCTTGGTTCCCGTCTGGAAGCGAGGGCGGTCAAAAGCGTGGCACTGCAGGCTCGTCTGGCAGTGGACCCCGCGCAGGACGAGCTCCATGCGCCTCTGCGTCTCCCCTTGCGTCGGGCATTGAGGGGTGGCGGCCGCCCCTTGCCGCCGAGGCAGGCAACCTGTGGGGGACCCCACGATCAAGGAGGACGAGCTCTGCATCCCTGCTGCGTCGGGCATCGAGGGGTGGTCGCCGCCCCTCTCCGCCGAAGCGGGCGCGCCCCGTGGGGCACCGCCATCCCCAGCGTGCGCTGCTGTCGGATGCTGGCTACCACCCGCCGATGGCCTCGAAGCAGGTGAGGAGGAAGAGTTTGGCGGATGAGGAGCCTCGCCTCCCTTCCCACCCCGCGCTCCCCTCCCTTCCACCAGCGCGACGGCGAAAAGGAGGTCCGCGTCGACACTGCCGCTGCCGCTGCTGTCGCCGTCGCCGTCGCCGCCGTCGCTGTCGTCGCCCGTCGCCGTCCGTCGTCGTCCGTCGTCGTCCGTCGTCCGTCGCCGCCGCCGCCGTCGCCCGTCGCCCGTTGTCGTCGCTGCTGTCGCCGTCGGCGCCGTCATCGGATCCGTCGCCGCCGCCGCCGCCCGCGCTGGGGGAGGGGCGCGCGGGCCGGGCCCCGCGCATGAGCAGTAGATTCGGGCAGTGCACCAGCGCGTCCGGCCGCGCCTCGGGCGAAGATGTCGTCGCCGCGCCGCGGGCCGGGGGCGCGAAGGCGCCGAAGACCGCGGAGACCACCTGTGCTGGCCGCCGGGGAGGGAGGGGGCGGGAGGAGGAGGACGAGGAGGAGGAGGAGGGCGGATGAGGGATGAGGAGTAACCTCCTCCCCCTCCTCCTCCTCCTCCTCCTCCTCCTCCTCCTCCTCATGCTCCTGCTCCTGCTCCTCCTCCTCCTCCTTTCTCCTCTCCTCCCTCCTCTCCTTGCTCCTCCAGGGAGGGGGGATGAGGAGGGCGGAGAGGGGGGAGAACAGTGGAGGAGCAGGGAAGACAGGCTAGGATGGAGAAGAGGAGGGAGAGTGGGGGAACGATTGGGCGATGGGGGAGGGGGCAGGATCAGGATGAGGGAGGGAGGAAGCTGCGAAATAAGGTATGGAGGGAGGGGGATGAGGGAGGAGGGTGAGGGCAGGAGGGAGAACGATAAGGGATGACGATGATGCTGCTGCTGCTGCTGATGATGAAGATGATTTGGATGCTGATGACGATGGTGAGGATGATGATGCTGATGACAATGCTGCTGCTGCTGCTGATTATCATGTTGCTGCTGATGATGCTGCTGATGCTGATGCTGATGCTGATGATAACCATAATGGTACTGATGATAGTGCTGATGTTGATGCTGATGCTGCTGCCGATAATGAAGATGGTGATGCTGATTATGATTATGAGTATGCTGCTGATAATGATGCTGGTAATGCTGATACTGCAATTGATGATGCTGATGCTCATGCTGATGCTGCTGATACTGATGATGCTGCTGCTGATGCTGATGATGATGATGATGCAGCTGCAGCTGATGATGGTCATGCTGATCATGCTGATGTTGATGATGATCATGGTGCTGATGCTGATAATGCTGGATGTGCTGATACTGATGATGCTGATCATGTTGATGGCGAGGATGCTGATAATGCTGCCACTGCTGATGCTAATGCTATTGATGATGCTGAGGACGATGCTGATGCTGATGCTGATGCTGCTGATGATGATTCTAATGCTGCTGATAATGATGATGATGCTGCTGCTGCTGATGACGCTGATGCTGATGCTGATGATGATGCTGTTGATAGTGATGATTATGATGCTGGCGATGCTGATGCTGATGCTGATGATGACGATTATGATGATGATGCTGCTGATGATAATGCTGCTGCTGCTGCTGATGATGATGATGATGATAATGATGATGATGATGATGGTGGGGGTGGTGGTGGTGGTTATGAGGCTGTTGGTGAACATGGTGATGATGAAGAGGAGGACGTTGAGGAGGAGGATGAGGATGAGAGGAAGAGGAGAACGAGGAGGAGGAAGGAAGAGGAGGAGGAGGAGGAGGAGGAGGAGGAAGAGGAAGAGTAAGACGAGGAAGAAGAGGCGAAGAGGAACAACATAGGACAACCATGATGAACCAACGATGATGCAACACACCCTCCTGCCTGTAGGTCCTTCCTCACAGCTCCCAAAACGCATTCCTTTTCGCACGGGGGGGCTCCCTCCCACACACACACACACACACACACTCACGAAAGAAAAACGCCACATGTGCATGCCACTCAGGCGATTGCCCTGTTTTGAGCATGCACAGCCCTCCCTCTTTGGAGCTATTCAACATGTGTTGCATGGCCAAGTCTACCAGCATAGCAAGCGATTGCTCTCCTGCCGAGAAAGAAACCACCCTCCGTCCGCCTAACAGTTGGGCAACAATTTTGGATGTCCACGTCATTGTAATGAAGCCCCAAGGTGCCACACACCACATACCAATTTTGAAAATGGACCACCCAAAAACAACGTGTTGAACTGTCTGCCATGCCGAGTCTCGAGCCGTGAGAGCTTTAACACTCGAACATTTCTCGAACGAGGCCCTTGTGTCGCACATGAAAATCCGCCCTCCGTCCGTCTAGCCGTTGCACGTGCCTGCGCCTCTCGTAGAGGCAGAGGAGGCGTCAAGCGAGAGCCTCACTTTGAGAAGCCGCCACCCTCTGACCGTGCAGCTGCTGCAAGTTTGTGGGGCGAGTGGGCACGGCGCTGAGGCGAGGGAGGAACGCAGGCGGGAGAGAGGAGAGGCAGGCGGACACACACGCCTCGGGCCCCAACCCCGCTCCTGTGCCTCCCATCTCCACTCCCTCCGTCGTCCCCCTCCTGCAACTCCGGCTCCTTTCCAATTGTCTTGTGCAAGCCATGTGGGGCGCTGCGCGGCGTCTGGCTTCCGTCTCCTCCTCCGCATCCTGCTCCTGCTCCTGCTCCTCTTCCTCCTCCTCCTCCTCTCCTCCGCCTCCGCCTCCTCCTTCCTCCTCCTCCTCCTCCTCCTCTTCCTCCTCCTCCTCCTCCCCCTCCTCCCCGCCCTTCCCCACCTCTTTCTCCTCCTCCCCCATCTTTCACCTCTTACTCCCCCTCGTCCTCCTCCTCTTCCTCTTCCTCCTCCTCCTCCTTCTCCTCCTCCTCCCACTCCTCCTCCTCTTCTTCTTCCTCCTCCTCCTCTTCTTCCTCCTCCCCCTCCTCCTCCTCCTGCTCATCCTGCTCCTCCTCCTTCTCCTCCTCCTCCTTCTCCCCCTCTCCCTCTCAACTCCTCGCCCGCCTCCGTCTACGTCCTCCACTACTGGAGCCCCAAGGTGCTCCCCAAGACGGACCCAGAAATGCCGAATAACCTCCCAGCAAATCACGCCGAATCTCAATGGGACCTTCTCTGCCCCTTTTGGCCAGGCTGTCCACGCCGTTATGATCGAGAAATTTCGAAGCTATCCGTGGCAAGCGGGGGCGATTCGGGGCCCTGCCATCCTGGGGTTCGAACGCCCAGGGGAATCCAGAAGAATCTCCAGAAACCTCCCAAGCCCTCCTCCCCCCTCTGTGCCTCCCATCGACGACGACGACGACGACGCCCACCTTTGGATATCCCCAGATTCATCCGGATGCAACCAACGGCCCAAACACGTCTCTGGAGTCTCCAGAGGCCTCCGGAAGCAGCAAACCCAGACCTCGTTTTTTCCGATCGTTTAGAAGTCTGGGAAGGCAGGAGGCATCTATACACCACCACCGTGCCTGGCCAGGGCCCCCCTGGGCCCTTGCACGGAGTGTACGCCTCCTGGCCGAGGCCAGGTGGGTCTATGCACCATCGTGGGAGGCACTCGATGCCCGCGGGAGGCACTCGATCCTCGCGGGCCGCAGATGGGCGGGCGCAGATAGACGGCCGCGCGGCGCACGCAGAGTGGCGGCCCGTTTCTCGGCGGCAGCCGCCCCGCGCCGCCCGCGTGCAGAACGCGGCGGCCTCCTCCGGGGCCACCTGCGGGCGGATCCGAGCGCGTCGTCGTGGCCGCAGCGGAGAGGTTGGGATGAAAGGGAGGGGTTAGGGGAGGAGGAGGAGGAAGAGGAGGAGGAGGAGGAGGAGGAGGAGGAGGAGGAGGAGGAGGGGGAGGAGGGGGAGGAGGGGGAGGAGGAGGAGGAGGAGGAGGAGGAGGAGGAGGAGCTCAGGAGGGATCCGAGGCCAGCAGTCAGTCCCTCTCGCTGAACTTGCCGCTGTCAGACGTACGCATCAGCCCGTGCCGCACAGTTATTTTTCCAGAAGGTCAAAAGTCACCCGACGGAGGAGGAGGCGGCCAACGAGCCGCCCTGGACGCTCTACATGAATGAGCAAGTGGATGACATTGCCAGGTGCGCTGCCCGTCGACGGAGCGTACCGCCCGCTTTGGTCCGCCAGATTCAAGGGGCAGACATCCACGCCAACATGATTTGCGACCGTCTCTCGGCAATCCAGACCCACTACTGGGAACTCAAGGATCAGTTCCCCCAGGAGGACGAGGAGTCGAAGGAGGAGCGTAGGAGAGTGAGAGCCCGTAGAAGTGTACAGGCCCTTCAGGATGCCCTTCAGAACACCTCCCACTGTCTTTTAGCTGCCCCCGTGGCTCCCGAGTATAATCTAGCCTGCCTTAGATGTAAGAAGCAAGGTCGTGTCAAAATTCGGATGCCCACTTGGTTAAAGAGACCCTGTCGGCCCCATGTTTTGGCATTGCACCCGTCCCATCATCCCCATTTGCAAGTCACCAACGGCATTTGTTGGTGCAGTCGGTGCGGGGGATGGACTATTCGGGCCCGTAGTAAATTAAAGTCAGTCTGTGAGCCTCCCACAGAAGGGGGGAGGAAAGCAATTCAGAGGTTAGCGCAAGGACGTTTACCTCCAGGCTTGAAAGCCTGGCCCATCTTCGAGGTGCTGCACTAGGTACAGCTCACAGGACGCCCGCGCGCGGCGGGACTCGGTCTTTCCAGGGGGAGTGCGCTCGGAGGAGGAGGAGGTGGGGGAGGGAAGGGACGGAGGGGAGGGGAGCAATCCTTGAGACGTCCTTTGTGCGCCGGGTTGCCTGTTCCGCCTTGCTCAGAACCCTTGGCCAAGAGCCCGCTGGATATCCTGGACAGGTCTACACGCCTGTGGGGGATGGAAGGATGAGGAGAGGGAGGAGGAGATGGAGGCTGAATGCAGATGGCATGGATGGCATGAAGCGGTCGCAGACCGTTGCGTCACCATGGGCGGCCTACGCTAAGCGCAGGCATCAAGCAAAACTGGTCCCCACAGGGGCCATCCCCCGGCCGAAGGCCAGCAAGCACCACAGCTCTACCCCTCGGGGGGAAGGAGGACGCGTGTAAACCCAAGAGTCATCAACGATGTTGGAATAAACCCTCCCTCCAAGCTCCCTCTTCATAGGGCCATCCCTCTCGGGACTCCAACGCCACGCCAGAACGCCATTCCTGGGACTTCAACACCGCGAATCAACGTAACTGTTGCACGCTCGTAACCCAGAATCCTTCCAAAACATACTTTCTGGTACGTTGATCATGGGAATCCGTGAAACTCTTGTATTAAAAAACGAAAATGCGAAGCGCTAAAGACATAACCACATTTTGAAAAGGAACCGCCCTCAATCCGTGAAACTCTTGCATGATATCAAAACGAATGTATGCGGCGCTAAGGCGAACGCCACATTTTGAAAACGGACGGCCCGCCCTCAATCCGTGAAGCCATTGCGCATTCTAAACAAGAGTGTGCGCGGCGCTAAGGCGAGAACCACATTTTGAAAACGGCCAGCCCTCAATCCGTGAAGCTCGGGCAAATTCTAAACAAGAATGTTCGCGGCGCTACGGCGAGAACCACATTTTGGAAACGGCCAGCCCTCAATCCGTGAAGCTCGGGCAAATTCTAAACAAGAATGTTCGCGGCGCTACGGCGAGAGCCACATTTTGGAAACGGCCAGCCCTCCATCTGTGGAACTTTTGCTAATTTTTCAGCTTCAAGATCATACCTGATGATGGAGTCTCACGCGACACGCCCCACCCGCCCTAAAAACGGCTTCGGGGTGTGACAGGGGGGAGTTATTTATAAGGAACGGGAATGGAAAAAGGAGGAGGAGGCGGAGGAGGAGGGAGGAGGAGGGGCAGGAGGAGGAGGAGGACGAGGCGGCACGTTGAAGCATGGAAGGATGCCAAAGTCTGCCTGGCAAAATTTATGTAGTCTTCTGAGGGACTCCCCCCCTCCGCGGGAAGCGCCTAGCGGACTGCACCACTCCTACTCAAAGCGGGTCCCTGGGTGGCCATGGCGCTTCCAAGACGATTTCAGAGGGTCCCAAGTCGTCGAACAATCGCTCGAAGACGCCCAAGATGGCCAAAAAAAAAGCCCCAAGAGGCCTCCGATACGATCCAAGAGGCATCCACGAGGCCTCCCAAGAGGGCCCCAAGCGGCAAACATTACGGCTTTTCCTTCAATGTTTGAAGGATTCTGGCGTTCTCGCTTTTTCGGCTTTCCGGCGCTCCAAGGCGGCCCAGGAGGCCGCCAAGACCATCCCAAAACGGCGCAAGAGGCCTCCAAGAGGGCCACAAGATGGCCCCAATAGGAGCCTAAAAAGGGGGAACACGAAGCGAAAATCCGAGACTTCCACCCCAAGAGGCCACCAGTAGTCCCCACGAGGCGCCCGAAGAGGCCCCAAGGGGCGCACAAGAGGCCCCCAAGAGGCCCCAAGAGGCCCCCAAGAGGCCCAAACGAGGCCCCCAAACGGCCCGCAAGAGGCTTCAAAACTGCCTCCAAAAGGCCCCCGAGAGGCTCCCCAAGAGATCCCAACGAACATCCAATCTGCTTCATACCCACAACCCAAGCACGGTGGCGGGACTTGCCGTATGCAGCTGAATGTGTGTATATATATACAGACATATACATGCCGGCACATCTATACATATACACGCATACAGATAGACATACATACATACATGCACACACACACATATATATATATATACACATACATACATGTGCACACACACATCTATATAGCCAAACTTAAGATGAATACCACTACCATGTAAGACATCATGGCCAGCTTCCCGGACGTTTCTCAACAGACACCTGGGCCGATCTCTGTCGTTGACGCTGATGGGGCCAACGTGCTCAAGGAACTGGGCCAGCTTTCTGACCAATTGGCCAAGCAACGCTGGCCCAGCTTTTGGGGGGAGGTTTCTTCATGAGATGCTCGATTGCATATGTATGACGTATCAAACTGCGACCTCTGCGTGATGAAACCTCTTGGCACAAAACCGGCTCCAGAGACACACCCGGCCATCTTGGGTGCCCACCTTTGACCACCGCACCCCCAGGGCCCCTACTTCGGTTGGGGAAACAACGTGCAAGCTGAAACTCACGCACTGACAGGCTGGACACCTGCATGCACAAACAGAGAGGTCATATGTCACTGCTCGCGTAGCTGGAGCGAGAACCACACCTGGAGAAGGAGCATCATGAGGATGATGAGGATGATGATGATGATGATGATGGTGATGATGATGATGATGATGATGATGCTGATGATGATGATGATGATGATGAGGAGGAGGAGGAGGAGGAGGATTGACAAATGCAAGGTGGAGGGGGACATTGCTGCTGCAAGTCGTCTGAGGACAGGGTCGGAAAAGGGGAAGGACGGAAAGGATGATAGGGAAGAAGACGAGGAAGAGGATGATGCAGAGCGCGTGAACCTGTCGTTCGTGCACTGCCTCACGACCTTCGGCCCCCCTGGGACCGCAAGTCGGCCCGTCACCGAGAGACCCCTTTGGGCGTCGACGCACAAAGCTCCGAGGCCCCTGCCGCTCCCTCCCGCCGCGGCGGGCGCCCGCTATCTCCGAGCAGTAACAGTTCGGCCACGGATTGGTGCACTTACGTCGTCGTCACCGTCGGGCCGTCGACTTCGTCATTGAGACGTCTTCGAGCCGCCAGAACATGACACGGCGAAGAGGGCGGGGGTGTCCAGCGACTTTTGGATGCTCTCGGAGGTTTCGGCTGCGTTCGCAGGTCGGATTTGCAAATAACACCCCGCAATTGCGGATAAAAGTGAGGGAGCGGGCGCGGGTGGGTCGCAGGGTGGGTCGCGGGAGGGTGGCGGATGGGTGGCGGATGGGTCGCGGGTGGGTCGCGTGGGTGGGTCGCGTGGGTGGGTCGCGTGGGTGGGTCGCGTGGGTGGGTCGCGTGGGTGGGTCGCGTGGGTGGGTCGCGCGGGTGGGTCGCGGGAGGGTCGCGGGTGGGTCGTGGGTGGGTCGCGGGTGGGTCGCGGGCGGCTCGCGTGCTGGGTCGCGAGTGGGACGACGACAACAACAACAATCATCTTCAGACTGTTCGCTCGCATCTGCTCGCGTGCCATGCACCACGTATATCCCAAACCCTCGATACCCGCCCTTCGTCTTCGATCGTGCCCCCCCTTGGGGGTGTATATCTTCCCTACCTGCCGCGCGTCATTGGCGCAGCCCCCTAAATAAGGGAAGGGAGGAGGGACGAGACAAGGGAGAGAGAGAGAAGGATGGAGCAAGAGAGAGGCCAGGCCTTGGGAGGTCGGGGCTCCTTTGCAGACGGTGCGCGGCTCCCAGGAGGAGGAGGAGGAGGAGGAGGAGGAGGAGGAGGAGGAGGAGGAGGAGGCGGAGGAGGAGGAGGAGGAGGAGGAGGAGGAGGAAGAGGAGCAGGAGGAGGAGGAGGAGGAGGAGGAGGAGGAGGAGGGAGGGAGGAGGAGGAGGAGGAGGAAGGTTAGGACCAGGTGACCAGGAGTACAAGCGGCAGAACCAGACTGGCGAGTCGGGCCGGCGGACCCCAACGGGCAAGCCGGGAGGGCGGGCCCAGGCGACCGGGTCGAGCGGACGGGTCGCTGAAGCGTCGATCCAACATGGATCGCAAGGACGCTTCGAACGACAGCGCGATTCCCAAACAAATCGTGAGGCAATCCAAAGCGAGAGCGTGATTCCTCAGTCATTGGGGTACGGCGCCGCAATACACTGTGAGGAAATATTGCGCGAGAGCGCGATTCCTGTAGACATTCTGAGGGAGTCCCATGCGGGAGTGCGATTTGGAAATACATCGTGAGGAAGTAGCACGCGGGAGCCGCTGTTGTTGCAACCTGGGGACCAGGGGCGCAGTTTGAGGACCAAGACTTTCTCTTATAAATTCAGGGTGCGAGCCCTGGGGGGAACACTTGAATTGAAAAACCCAAGGTGCACCGGAGGGGGGGGATCAACACGAACTTTTCATTCGACATGGAAACTCAACAACAACAACAGCGCAACAGCAATCGGCACCGTGGAACCCCACTTCAGCAACGCGCCAGGGACAGTGAACGACCGTTCGGCCCCCTCGCTCTGACTTCTGCGTTCCTCCATCTGGTGGGGGAGTGGGCGCGGCCACCGCCTGGCGAGCTGGGTGCAGCCGCCGCCTCCTCCGCACGATGAGCAGTGACGCGCGCGCGCGCGACGTGGCCGGCGACAGAGGCACTCTCACGATGGGTGGCAGGGCAGCGAGGCGGGGCCTAAAGCCACCCGACTTCGCGCCGCCCTCGAGCTCCAGCGCCGGCCGACGCAGAGAAGGGCGGCGCTGTTGTGCGCACCGCGGCCGCCCCTCTTGCGCCCCCTGCGGTTGGCCTCTGCGCAGGGGGCGAGGCGGCAGCGGCGGGCGCCGTGGCGGTGGCGGTGTGCGGCGCGAGCAGCAAGCGCACGGCGCGAGCGCGGCGGCGTGGTGGTGCGCAGCGCGAGCAGTGGCGGACGGTGCGCGCAGCGAGCGGCAGCGGCAGGCCGCCGAGCCTCGGCGTCCTCCAGCAGCGGCAGCGCCGTCTCCTCGAAGTCCGCCTGGGGGGCCCCCGGCGCGGCCCCTGCCAGATAGGGTGCCAGGTGCTGGTGCCCCGGTGGTGGCAGCGCGGTGGTGGTGCTCCTGCTGCTCGCTGCTGCCGCCTGCTCGTCCTGCTTCTGCACTGCTGCTGCTGCTGTTGCTGCTGCTGCTGCTCCTCCTCCTCCTTCTCGTCGCCTCCTCCTCCTCCTCCTCCTCCTCCTCCTCCTCCTCCTTCCCCTTCTCTGCCACTCCTCGTGTGATCGATGGGACGTCGTGCGCTCCTACAGCCTGCCACGTTCAAAGAGCATGGGAAGGATGACGCGATGGGGATGAGGAGGGACATGCGGAGGAGGAGGACGAGGAGGAATAGGAGATGGAGGAGGAATGATGATAGGATGTAGCATGAAATGGCATACTATGCAATGGTATGTTATGGCATGCCATTACATGATTATGGGTCTGAGTACGATGACGATTCTGAGGATGGGGAGGACGACGATGACGAAGACAACGACGTCGCCGCCGACGACGATGATGTCGATATGCTGATTATTATGATGCTGCTGGTGATGGCGATGCTGACGATACTGCTGCTGCTGCTGATGACGAAGATGATACCGATGTGACGACGATGCGTATGATGGTGATGACGGTGTCGAGGGTGGCAACCATGACGATGTGGGTGATTGTGGCTGTAATGCTGCAGCTGCTGATGCGTGATCGCACGTCGTGGTAATGGCGATGTATGATGATGAGCAGGACGAGCCGGAGGAGGATTAAGATGCTGTTGCCGATGTCGTGGACGATGAGGAGGAAGTTCCCGACGGGCGCAGCACGGCCGCTGCGCTCAATCGGGTGGCCCGCCGCCGACGCGTGGGCCTCAACAGAGAGAGAGAGAGAGAGAGAGAGCGGCCGATGTGGAGCCCCATGCCGCGGGGTGGACCCCCCACATTTCCTGGCCGAGTGCCGCCGATGTCAGGAGGAGGGGCAGGGGCAGGAGGAGCAGGAGGAGGAGGAGCAGGAACGGAAGCGGGAGCAGTCACAGGAATGGGAGGAGGGGGAGGGGCAGGAGGTGGGCGGAAGGTGGAGGCGGGGGGAAGAGGAAGAAGGGGAGGAGTGCCCACGGACAGACTCCCCTGCCCCCCTGCACCCACCTCGCCATCGCTCGGACGCCCATTCCCCGTGCACTTTTCGGTTTCGTGCGAATCTTTTTCGCACGAGGATCCAGCATGCTTTTGATGGTTTTCGCCGAGGACAAGTGCACACGCCCGAGCGATGCCAAGCCACCTGCCGCGCGTTCGCGCGCGCGCGCGGCGCCTGCACGGAGCCCTGGTCCTCGCCGAGGGGGGAAGGGCGGAAAATGCAGCTGGGTAGGGCCGCGCGGGGCAGCTGGCTGAGGAGGGGGAGGAGGAGGAGGAGGAGGAGGAGGAGGAGGAGGACGAGGAGGAGGATGAGGACCAGTGTAAACCCAAGACTAATCAACGATATTGCAACGAACCCTCCCTCCAAGTTCCCTCTCCGCAGGCTCTACGAGGATTCATGTCCACTGATGGAAATGCCCCGCTGGAAGACAACAGTTTGAAAGTCCGGAAGTATGCCAGAACACCATTCCTGGGACTTCAACGCCGAGAACCACCGATTCTGTTGCGTCCTGACGATCCTGAATCGCGCCAGAACAATATTCAAGGGACTTCAGCACTGCGAATCTACCTAAGTGTTGCGCTCTGACAATCGCACATCGCCACAACACACTTATAGGGACGGTAGCCATGACACTCCTTCAAACTTGTGTAAATTCTGACAACGAATGGACTGTGCGCGGTGCTAGAACGAGAGCCACATTCTGAACAAGAGCTGCCCTTCATTCGTGACGCTTCTGCAATTTTTGGAAACGAATGTGCGCGGTGCTAAAGCGCGAACCACATTTTGAAGACGGCCCGCCCTCCGTCCGTGAAGCTCTTGCACTTCTAAAAACAACGAATGTGCGCGGCGCTACAGCGAAAGCCATACTCTGAACACGACTCGCCCTCCATGCGTGGAGTTCTTCTCACTCTCTGAAACGGAAGGGGGCGCGGCGCGAATGCGGGGACCACATCTTGGAAGACCACCCGCCCTCCATCCGTGAAGCTCTTGCACTTCGAAACAAAAAAACGAATGTCCGCGGGGCTCAGGCGAGAACCACGCTTTGAAGACCACCCGCCCTCCATCCGTGAAGCTCTTGCACTTCGAAAAAAAAAACGACTGTCCGCGGCGCTCCGGCGAGAACCACACTTTGAAAACCCTCCGCCCTCCACCCGTGAAGCTCTTGCACTTCGAAACAAAAAAAACGAATGCCCGCGGCGTTCCAGCGAGAGCCACGCTTGGAAAACCACCCGCCCTCCAGCCGTGGACCCCTTGCACACTTCGCACAACGAATGTGCGCGGCGCCAGGGCGAGGACCACATCTTGAAGGCCCTCCGCCCTCCACCGATGGAAATGACGAGGAAATGACATGACGAGGAAATCTCATGCTTGAATCTTAAATGACGAGGAAATGACGAGGAAATCTCGTGCTTGCAGGCCTCCAGCTTAGATGACGAGGAGATCTCGTGCGAGATGCCAGGCCCGCCCTACCGACACGCGTCGGGGTGCGACTGGGAGGAGCCATGTCCGAGGAACAGGAAGGGAGCACGAAGAAGAGGACGAGGAGGAGAAAGAGGAGGTGGTGGAGGAGGAGAGCGTCGAACACCTGAAGGGCATCTGCTTCGACACTGCATTCTCTCGGAGGACCCCTCGACCGGTGAACAAGAAATGGAAATGGAAGACGAAATCTGCCAATTTTCTCTGGAGGCGCCGTGAGATCCCTGGAGGTCTCTGGAGGGCCATAAAGGGCCAACAGCTGAGAGGCGCACGTCCGAAATCCACTGTGCTTACCAAATGAGTGGCGTGCCGGGCAGCGGCAAGTGCGGCTGCGGCCTTCTGTCAGGCCTTGTGAGCTGGTCTGCAGGGGGCGCCACAACTTTTGGCTTGGGGTGCTTGTGCGAAACCGCTGCGCCGAGTCGCATCGCGTCCGCTCGCGAACTCGGGCGGGCAAGACACTTATCCGACGACCTGTGAACCCTACACCTGCAAATCAGGCTTCAGAACAACCAGCCGGGGTTCAGAATCTGAAGGATGTCTGCAACCACGTGAACCCCGGCAAGGGTGTCCGATTCTTCAGCCTCGAGTGGACCCGCAGGGGTAGGGTTCGCAAGTGGTCGCAGAACATTCGTAATCGTTTTCGGCACCGAGGCCAAGAACGTCGAGGAGAACAAGGATGAGGGACAGTAGGATGAGGAGGAGCGAACGCCGCCTTGCGCGGCCACGCCCTGTCCAGTGGCGACCGCCCCAGCTCCACGTCGTCGGCTGAGCACTGGCAGAGTGGCAAGGTGGAGCGGGCGGTGGTGCAGGGGGATGAGGTTCGCTGGAGGAGGAAGACGAGGAGGAGGAGGATGATGATGAGAAGGAGGTGGAGCAGGAGGAAGAGGAGGAGGAGGAGGAGGAGGAGGAGGAGGAGGAGGAGGAGAAGGAGGAGGGAGGAGGAGGAGGAGGAGGAGGAGGAGGAGGAGGAGGAGGAGTTGGCGCCCGCCTGCCGCCCCCGACCCCTCCTGGGTCCTCGGCGTCCTCCGCCAGCGACGCTGCCAGCTCCGCCAGGTGGGCCACGACGTCGTCGTCCAGGGCGCTGGGGGCGCCGTCCTGGCGCGGGAGCCGCCCAAGCTTCGCGCACTGCGCGGCCGTCGTCGCGACATCCCGCCCTGCCCCCTCCGCCCCCTCGGGTGCTCATTAACGAGGGGATGATGAGCGCCTCCCACGTTGAGAGGAGGAGGAGGAGGAGGAGGAGGAGGAGGAGGAGGAGGAGGAGGAGGAGGAGGAGGAGGAGGAGGAGGAGCAAGGAGGAGGAGGAGGAGGAGGAGGAGGGAGGAGGAGGGAGGAGGGAGAGGAGGAGAAGGAGCGTGCACCTCGCCTGACCCTTCTGGGCCCGCCGTGGCAGTCCTCGGGGCCACTCGGGGCTCCTTGAGAGGGCCACTCTCCTGCAGTCCTCGAAATCCCCCCCCCCCCCCCCCCCCCCCGCAGTCTCCTGCCCCCACGCTGCCGCCCGCCCGCCTCCCCAGAAGGGGCCGCCGGAGAACATCCTCGAGGCCCAGAAGGCACTCGTGCCGCCCCCCGCCTCCTCCTCCTCCTCCTCTCCCCCCTCCTCCTCCTCCTCCTCCTCCTCCTACTCCTCACTCATGCTGCTCCCCCGTCTCCTCTGGCGCCCCCGCCGGGTCGAAGGGCAAGCTCGTGCCATGACGAATGCGGCGGTGGTTTCGGACACCGCTGCGCCCTGCTGGCCCGTGGAGCCGACCGGTTTTTCTGTCCACACACTGCGTCCCCTGGCGGCGCGCACAAGGGGTTACAGTAGGTTCGCGCGGGAGTCGGCGCGCGCAAAGGTTTTTGACACCGCGTCGATCGTTCAACCTTGAATCGATCGCGGCCCCCATCGTTCAAGATTGAATTTGATCGGGTCCAACGGGGGCACCGTGTCCCTCCGAATTTCCACGTCGCAGAATTCAACCTTGAACGCCTTCCCCGGCGTCGCCGGCGCGCCATCGCCGCATGAACCTACCGTAGGGGGAGGGGGAACGGGCCTTGTCTATAGATGTCGGCACCTTCTAAGAACCAGCCTCCTTCTAAGAGGCCTTCCCCCTCCCCCTAATTACCCCCTCGTGCGCGTGGCCGACTCTGTCAACAGCCGCCTGGGTTGAGCAACGCTCGTGGACATGTCGCGGGGGCTCCCCGGCCCACGTGTTGATGCTGAACTGCACTGCCAATACCTCGCTGTCTGGGGGCTTTGCTGTGTTCTTGCTCGCTCAAGCATTTACCACGTGTGCGGAGCCACACTGTCATTGCCTCGCTTTCCTGTGGCTTTGCTGTGCTCCTGCTCTGCACGCACACCGCTTGAGGCGGCGGGCGGCGGAGAGCTCGAGAGATCCATCAAACAACTGGCTGCCCTTCGACTGTTCCCGCTGATCCCCAGAGACAGGTCCGCTGACATCGAGCTTGCCGTCGGCCCCGATGCTGTCAGAATTGCCATCGGTCCGTTGCCATCGTTCCACATCGAAGCTCCGTGTGTAACGAAGCTGCCAGAGCCGACAGAGAAGCTACCCTAACTACCATAGCATTACATGCTTGCTAAACTTACTGCTCCTCCTTCTCTTCCTCCTCTTCTCCTCTTCCTCTCCTCTCATCCTCCTCATCCCCCGAAGCATCCTCTTCGTTCTTCTATCTCCAGCCTCCCGCCTCCCCTCTCTCCCCCTCCCCTCCCCCCCTCGTCCTGGACGGATGGGGAAAGGGAGGACGGGAGAAGACAAGCGAGATGCGATTGCGCTCGATCTAACCCCCTGCCCTCGCGCCCTCTGTACACCGACGGGCGTCATAGCGGACCTGGGCCCAGAAATGGCCCCATCATGTGAGGCGCAATTCGAGACGGGACCTGTGTGCACTGGAGGGGGACGTGGCAGATGACCAGGAGTATGAGCAGAAGGAAGAGGAGAAGCATGAGGAAGAAGGAGAAGGAATAGAGGAGGAGGCGGAGGCGGAGGAGGATGAGGAGGCGGAGGAGGAGGAGGAGGAGGGGGAGGAGGAAGAGCACGGAACGGCACGGAGGACGACGACGAGCGACGAGGAGATCGACCTGCGCCGGCGGGAGCCCACGTGCGCCGGCGAGGGCCCGCGCCGTCAGCGGAAGCCGAGGGGCCGGCGCCGCCCGCGCCGGCCCCAGAGGCCCTGGCCCTGCCCCCGCTCGTGCGGCTCGGGGGGCGGCGGCGACCCCGTGGGCTCCAGCCGCTCCAGGAAGCCGCTGCGTCCAGCCTCGGTGCCGGAGGGTGGCGTCGTTCACCTCCTGCTCCACCTTCTCCAATACTCTTCCTCCTCCTCCTCCTCCTCCTCCTCTTTTTTTCCTTCTCCTCCTCCTCCTCCTCCTTCTCCTCCGCTATCCTACTCCTCTGTCCTTCTTCTCCTCCTGTGTCCTCCTTCTCGATTCGATCCCCCTCCTCCTTCTCTCTCTTCCTCTCTCCTCCTTCTCCCCCTCCTCCTCCAACTTCTTCGCCATCCAACTTCTCCGCCTTCTTCCCCGATTATCCTCCTCATATCTCTTCTCTCTCTCTCTCTCTCTCTCTCTCCAACTCCTCTCTCCTTCTCTCCCTCCTTCTTTTACTCCCTTCCCCTCCTCCTCCTCTTCCTCCCTCCTCCCTCCCTCCTCCCTCCCTCCTCCTCCTCCTCCTCCGTCTCATCTTCACCTGCCTCTTCTCTTCCTCCTTGTCGTCCTCCTTGTCTTCGTCCTTGTTCTTCTCCTCTTGCTCTTCCTCCCTCCCTTCCCGCTCTTCCTCCCTCCTCCTCACCCCCCTGCTCCTGCCCTCCGGCTCCAGCTCGCCCGCCGCCGCAGCTCCGCCGCGCGGGTCGGCAGGGTGGCGGAAGCCCCCAGGATATGATGTTGCCGGTCATGTTCCAGGCGGAGACCCAGCAGTCCGCCACGTCCCCGAACTGCATGTCGCGGAAGCGCGAGACGGCCTCGGGACGGCTCGCCGCGCCCTGCCGGTGGGAGCCCAAGTTCAGCTTGAAGTACAGCGCCGCGTCGGTCCTGGTGGCCAGCATGGCCTGCAGGCGCAGCCCCCGCTTCTCGACGGCCTTCGGGGACCCCAGGTGCAGGTTCATGCGCGCGTAGTCGGTGTACCGCTCGCTCCGGGCCAGCACGCTGCCGCCGCTCGGGTCGCCCAGCTGGTCGCAGAGCAGCCGGTGCAGCAGCGGCAGGTACATCACGTCCTGGGCGGCGTAGGTGATCAGGTCCTCGTGCATGGGGCGGTAGAACCACACGTTGGGGTCGTCCGCCATGCGGTGCCCCAGCGGGAGCTGCTGCTCGTTCTCGAGCCGCAGCCGGCTCTTCAGGAGCTCGTTGAGCGAGATCTGGAAGGGCCTCTCCGCCTGCTGCTCGCGCAGCATCGTGTGGGCCACCTGCGTGTCGAACACGCGCGTCGGCTCGAAGCCGCACTGCGAGAAGAGAGCGGAGGCGTCCTCCCGGCAGTCGTGCATCACCTTGACGATGCCGTGGGAGGTGAGCGCCGACTCCAGAGTGGCCATCACGCCCTCGCGCAGGGCGTCGAAAAGATAGACGCGCTCCTGAGTATCATTTGACCGATCCCCATCCCCTCTGGCATGGCTCACTGGCCGACTTACCCCACCAGGGTAAGATAATGTGGCCCAATATCTTTTTTGGTGGTTCTGTTTGGGTTTTGACCTTCCCCTCCCTCCGTATGAAGGCCCGATGATGAAGACTGCCAACTCCCCAACCGATGGAAAGGGGGACTCCACCGTGCTAGATCAGGCCGACAAGGAAGAGGAGGCGGCGGCGGAGGAGAGAGAGAGAGAGAGAGAAAGAGAGAGAGAGAGAGAGAGAGAGAGAAAGAGAGAGAGAGAGAGAGACAGAGAGAGAGAGAGAGAGAGAACGAGAGAGAGACGCGGCGGCAGGGGCGGCAAAGCGGGGCGGCCCCGTGAGGGTGGGGATCGGTGAGGCCACGCCGAGCTCCCGCGTGGCGACCTGCCGGGCGGCACGAACAAGAGAGCGACCCCCGGGCAACGGAGTGGCCTCTGGCGCGCGGCCCGCCAGGGGGGGCCCCTCCGGGGGGGACACCGCCGCGGCGCGCGCGGGCCGCTGCGGCCGCTCCGCGCTCCGCGGACGGGGCACTCCCCGGGGGGCCCGCGCCAAGGAGGCCGCTCCGGCGCATAGGGCCACTCCCGCTCGGGGGCCTGCCAGAAGGGCGCCGCCCTGGCCCGAGGGGCTCTCCCGGCTCCGGCGCTCCGTTCTTGGAGCCCCCGGGGCCGAGCGGGGCCGCTCCGCGGGGTGCTCTGCTGGAGGCCGCGCGGGCCTCCCCGGACCATCCTGGGGGGCACCTCGGGCCCGGGGCACCTCTGGCAGCACCCGCCTGGCGTCCCCAGACATCCGACGCCTCGATTCTTGTCGAGACGTGGGCCCCCGACCTCCCGACCACTTCCCCGGGACCGGTCTTTCCTCCCGCGCCGTTCTTTGACGGACACCGGGGCCCAGCGAGGGGGCCCCGAGAGGCCGAGACCGACGAAAAGCCCTCGCCTCGATGTTTGCGAGACGCCCGATGTCAGGAGGAGGAGGAGGAGGAGGAGGAGGAGGAGGAGGAGGAGGAGGAGCAGGAGGAGGAGGAGGAGGAGGAGGAGGAGGAGGAGGAGGAGGAGGAGGAGGAGGAGGAGGAGGAGGTGGCGTCTGCGGCGCCGAGCCTGGCAGAGGCACAGCCGCCCCCACCGCCCCAGCGCCACGCCCTCGCAGTCCACGCCCAGCATCTCCTCGGCCAGCAGCTCCGGCAGCCGCCGCTGCGCCTCTGGCGGCGGCGCCCGCGCACCCGCGGGGGGGAGGCCGCGAGCGGGGGGGGGGGGGGCCCTCCGAGGAGGCGAGCAGCCAGGGCGAAGGGCTGGATCTCGCCAGCGCTCGGACGTCCGTTCCAGGTGCACCTTCCGGCTCCGTGCGCGTATTCTTCTCGCAGAAGGATCCAAGGAAGCTCCTCGATGGTCCTCGCCGAGGAAGCATGCGCACGTCCGAGCGGGGCCGAGGGCCGAGGGGTGAGGATCAAGGATGATTTCGGATGAGGATGGGTCGGGAGTCTCCGAGAAACGGCGGGGTTAGAGGATGTGTCGGGTGCCGCGGCCCGCGGTCGTTCCAGAGCGATCCAGGACGCTCCGAGAGCGCTCCAGGGCGCTCTGGGCCGATGCGCCCTCATCCTGGGCTTGCCTGAAGATGGCGCAGGGGGCTCCTCGCAGTCGGGACCGTCGGACGCATGATGGGACCTGGTCAGAAAACTTGGCGTGGCCTCCCCCTGCAAGCATCGCGCGAACACCAGACAGTCGTTAATCCACGCTGGGGCCGTTCAAAAAGCAACGGCAACCACGACTTGCGGCAAACTCGAGCCTTGCGCTTTTCTGCTGGAAGCCCCTCCTCCGGCTTCTCAGAGGCCTCTTGCCCCCTTCTGAGAGGCCCCCCTGCCTTTGTAGACTCGGTGCAAGCTAACGCGCTTTCGGGATCCGTGGATTTTGCGCGTCGGCGCCAGATCCATAGATCGGGGAACGCGAAACATCAGGCCAATGCTGCCTGATTTGGCGACGGAGCGTGCCGATTTGGTGTGGAAGCTGGACCTGCCGCTAATCCACGCGCCCGGGTACCCGTGTGCGCTTCGTTGATTCGAGGCCCCCCCGCCTTCTCGGCGGGCCGCTTCCCTCGGCGCACCCCCCTCCCAAACATCCGACTCCTCGTTTTTGTCGAGACACGGGCCCCCGGCCTCGCGACCACTTGCCCAGGATCGGTGTTTCATCCCGCGTCGTCTTCTGAAGGTCCCGAGGCCCGGCGAGGGCCCCGAGAGGCCAACAACGGCGACACACCTCCGTCTCGAATTTTTGTTCGAGAACTCCGCGCGGACCTCCAAGTTTGTATGCTTCTGTCATTCTTCGCTCTCCTACAGTACTCGTGTACGCCGCCGAGCCTCCTCCCTGGAGTCCACCAGGACCGCCTCCCGGGGCACCAGCTGCCGGGCCAGCGCCACGCCGACGGACGCCTTCACCTCCTCGGGGAGGGCGCCAGGCGCACGTGCACGAACCGCTGACCCTGGCCAGGCCCCCCTTCCTCCCCCCACTTCCTCCTCCTCCTCCTCCTCCTCCTCCTCCTCCCTCCTCCTCCTCCTCCTCCTCCTCCCCCTCCTCCTCCTCCCCCCTCACTCCTCCTCCTCCTCCTCCTCCTCCTCCTTCCAAACGTCATCCTCAACATCCTCCTCCTCCTCCTCCTCCTCCTCCTCATCCTTCATCTCCACCTCCTCTTCCTCCTCCTCCTCCACCTCCTCCTCCTCTTCCTCCTCCTCCTCCTCCTCCTACTCCTCTTCGGCCAGGACGGCACATTACACATCATTGCACCGACCCTGTGCCCAGGGGTGGGCCCGGCCTCGAATCGGTGCACGGCGTGTTCTCGTCGCGATGACGCCGGTGTTGGCTTCCGACACCGCGTGTATCGTTCAACCCTGGAGCGATCGCGGCTTTCCGACAGCGCGCGTCGTTCGATATCGGCCGAGCCCGGGCCAATGGCGGGGGTTCCGCCTCGAACGCCTGCGCTGGGGTCGCCCCCACGCCGACGCGACACGAGCCCACCGTAGGTGTGCAGCCCGTGCCGTCAGACATCCGACGATTTTTCAATCCGCGGGCCCCAGAGGTCCCGACCCCGCTCTCAGGGGTAGGTGTCGCTCCCGATCA